AAGAGAGACAACAGTTTGCAGGGGGCCAATTTGACTCCAGCTGCTTCTCTTTGCACAACAGATGCGGCAGGACATTCCAGCCACCATGGGCCGGTCCCATATTCCAGAGCTGTAATCATCCCTATGGAGGAGCTGCTCTGGGATGACCAAAGGACCAGTCCTGTGACTACTACAGCTCTGGAATATGGGACCAACTTTCCCACTGTCAGCAAGCCACCCCGGGGTGGAATTTCCTCCCCGGCTGTTTTGGTCTTACCTTCCAATTCCAGCTTGTGTGGCTCTCTACTCAGTCTCAAGGTAAGTTTTGCAGTTGGCCAAAGGGTGGGGGCCAGCAGGTGGGCAGGCCATGTGAGCGGAGCAGCCTTGTTTTCCTGCACAGCCCAGATTAATTGCTTCTGGGGGCCATTCTGCAGACCACCAAAAAATTTCCATGGCCCACTGGTTAGTGACCACTGGCCTAGAAGATGAATTCAGAAGACTGGAAGAAGAACTACAAAGGGAACCACAGAAAAGAAGTTTAAAATAACAAATGGAATTAGTCAAACATAAACTGAACATTCTTGAAAAAGGAGAGCTAGCACAACAAATAAAAAGGAATAATCATTTTTTTAAAAAATGCTAATAAACGAAGGAGATGGCTAGCATATAAATTGAAAAACAAAAGGAAAAAAGCTGGATTAATAAACTGCAAAATGAGGAAGGAATTATGTGTTATCAAAGTGAAGAGGAGAACAATATAGTCCAAGATTTTTATAAGAAGTTATATGATAATAATGAATGCCCCATGGAAGAAAAGATATCACAGTGTTTGAAGAAAGCAAACCTGCCAAAAATCTCAGAAAGAAAAAAAAAAGCAAATATGGACATAAAAATGCCAGAATTAATTTAAATATTGAAAAATCAGAAGAAGAATAAAACGCCAGGCCCAAATTGGCTATCGGTAGAAATATATAAAGAATTTCAGGAACTATTAGCCCAAATATTACTATAAGTGTTTAATGCAGTTTTAAAAGAAGCAAAAACACCAGTATCACGGACCGAAGCAATTATAGCGTTTATGGTTTTAACAATGATTAAAAATGATAGACCCATATCATTTTTGAATTCAGATTATAAAATATTTATGGCAATAATTGCTGAAGGACTTAAAATATTTTTGAATGAAGTTATACATATAGACCAAAATGGATTTTGTTATGTCTGGGAACGTGGGCGCAAGAACGGAGACGAGGCATCGAAATAGTGACTCCAACTCTTTATTAGTGACTTCAGAACTGATCGAAAAGACTTGGGCAGCAGCAGCTCCTTTTATAGAGCCGGCTGCTGTCACAACACCCAATGGTTTGAGTTTGCCGCGCTGGGAGCATCCAATCAGCGGCAACCCGCTGTCAGCCAATCAGATCAGCCAAAAATGACCAATCACGATCCGCTATCAGCGAGCCAATCAGAAGTGCAGGTTTACAAACCTGTCGTGGAAAGAAAACTATTAGAATTGCAAGCCAGCGAGCTTGCTTAGTTCGGAACAGATTTCTCCCAAAAAGACAAATATGTAACAGCATGAGAATGATGTTGGACATTTTGGAATACTATGAAGTTCATTGTGAAAAGCAAGTGGCAATGATATTCCTAGATGCACAAAAAGCCTTTGATAATGTAAATTGAAATGTCATGTTAAAAGTTAAATTATATGGATTTTGGTGAAAATTTTATTAATGTATTCAGAGCTACATATGTCAAATCAGAGGCAAGAGTCATAATAAATGGAGAAGTGACACAATTAGGAACAGGCACAAGATTAGGAATTAGGAAAGGCACAAGACAAGGATGTCCGCCATCGTCGTTACTGTTCATATTAACGCTAGAAGTACTAACAAGAATAATTCAGAAAGATAAATTAGAGGACTAAATATTAAGAAAAATTTATAAACTACAGGCATTTTCAGATGACCTTGTATTTATTATAGAGGAACCACTACAATCGGGCCCAAGGCTTATGGAAGTACTGGAAGTACTGAAAGAGTATGAAGAAGTAGCTGGAAGTTTCAGTTGGTTCAAAATGCGACAGCCCACATGGTTTTGTACAAGCCTAGATTTGCATATGTATTAATTTTTTTTGTGGGAGTGTGCTCTGACTGCCAATTTGCTGCTGGTTGCACCCTTTAAAGCCTTATCCTACATGGCTCAGGACCATGTTAAGTGAAGGTGTGCTTCCCCGCTTACTCACACATACAAGTAGCTGTGATTTAGCGAGCTTATTAATATTCTCTAGCAATTCACTTCACAAAAAAACCAGAACTAAACTGTCCCAATTAACTCCAGCCATAAGTAGACCAATGTTAGTCCACAGAGCAATGGCCAAAGTCTACAAAGCACTTGAAAGTTTCTCAAATAAAAAAAAATCCACCAGACAAACTTACATCCATAACACAAGAGAGCTCATGAGTCAAGAAATGTACAGAGTTTCAAAGACATGATACAAGTCAAGGCACAGTGTCAATGCAAAGTGATGCAGGAATTACAACCAGAAAACACACAGTTAGGAAACAAACAGTCTGTCTGCAGTGCTAAATAGCCAGCTTTTTGGTGTAGCCATCAGAAAGGGCAAGGCTTTCTTCTCTCAAGTAGTCTGGCTGATCTTTTCTGGTCCTGCCTTTCCCCCCTGCTTTACATGTTCTTGGATGAGGTACAGAAGGCAGTTCCTCCTCCTCCTCACTGGCTGTCTGCAACTGCATGTTTTCCCCAGTCAAATTCCTTCTAGATAGCTGTTCTGAGCTATCAATTAACTTAGCTGTTCATGTGCTAAGAACCAGTTCATCTTCCCCTGAGCTGACAACTAGAAAAGTAGCTAGGGAATTGTCCTGGGAAGTCATCACAGAACATCCTCCAGTCAGATCTACCTGAGCCATCAGAGTGGGGAGGCAGAGAACACTATGGGGCCCCTCTCCTAAGGAAGTCCATCTGGTGGGTGTAAGAAGAGCCTTTCCCACAATGGTCTTATCCCTTATCCACATCATCCCTGTAGGGATAAGATTGGCCCCTACTTTAACACTCTTTCACAAGACCATGAAGACATGGTGCTGTTAACTGGCCTGGAGATCCCAGGGTGATAAGGTGACAAATCATTAAGTGATTTGTTTGATTGTTGTCGCTGGGAAGGCGGAATGTTACTGCTTTTTGTATTGGAATTTTATTCTTGGAAGCTGCCTGGAATCATTGGGAGTGAATTGGGTGGCCATATACATTTTCTAAATAAATAAATAAATTAAATTATTCAGGATGTCAGCTGTTGACACATTGATCAGAAATTGATCTGATTACTATGAGTGTTAATGTAATGTCCTTCATTTCAAATCATGAGCACCAAGTCTAGCATGTACCTCCCATGTGAACTGGGGCTGAAACCACAGTTTCTTTAGGCCCACCATGTTCGACCCTGGAGCAAGAAGGTTGAAATGCATCCAACACTAAAAGTTTGAAAACTCTACTACAGGCTCTGCTGTGAGAGAAAGGAGCTCAGGCATGATTTCTGCTAGACGGCAGGCTAGGTGATACATCAACGTGAGTCCTAATTTGTCCCTGTAGCTCTGAATAAAGCTATTCATATTTGATCACTCTTGGTTTAGCATATCTAATAGTAGGCATGTTCTTTGGAATCCCTGTCATCATCTAACAAGCTAACACCCAAGAAGATAGGCTCAAGATCCAGATGTATCTTGACAGACTAGAACACTGGGCCATATCTAACAAAATGAAATTCAATGTAGAGAAAAGTAAAGTCCTACACTTAGGCAAGAAAAACCAAAAGTACACATATAGACTGGGTGAAACCAGGGTCAATAGCAGTAACTGTGGGAGGATATTGGAGTCTTAGTGGACAGCCAGCTAAATATGAGCCAGCAGTGTGCAGCAGCAGCCAAAAAAGCTAATGCAATCCTAAATTGCATTAACAGAGGGATACAATCGAGATCAAGTGAGGTACTAATACCACTCTATAAAGCCTTAGTAAGACCACACCTAGAGTACTGCATCCAGTTTTGGTCACCACATTATAAAAAAGATGTTGAGACTAGAAAAAGTGCAGAGAAGAGCAACCAGAATGATTAGGGGACTGGAGACTAAGGCATATGAGGAACGGTTACAGGAACTGGTCTTGGCTAGTCTAGTGAAGAGAAGGACCAGGGGACACATGATAAGAGTCTTCCAACATTTGAGGGCTGCCACAGAGAGGAAGGGGTCAATCTATTTGCTAAAGCACCTGTAGCTCAGACAAGGATGATGTAATGTATGGAAACTGAACAAGGAGAGATTTAACCTGGAAATAAGGAGAAACTTTCTGACAGTGAGAACAATCAACCAATGGAACAGCTTGCCCTCAGAAGTTGTGGAAGTTGCGCCATTTGTCAGAAATGGTGTAGGGTCTCCCGCTTGGGCGGGGGTTGGACTAGATGACCTATAAGGTCCCTTCCAACTCTGATTATCTGTTATCTTCTTTCCTTGGCTTTAGTTATGACAGTTGTAGGATCTGAAACTTTGAAGGAAAGATCTTGGGTTATATTCCTTGCTAACTAAATCTCAGCAATACTTGTTACATCTGTAGTAATCTACCACCAGATCGTGTCTTTTCTGTAGATTTATGATTTGTTCTATCTGCCTCATCCCTTTGTACCAATACTATAGTCAGTTTGATTCCTGTATATATGCTGATGTGCAGGTCTACAAATGTCATTTTGATAGCATTATACTTAAATATAATTGATTTTTTATGGCCCAGAGCAATTAACTTTACTAGTTCATATAGTTAATTAATGGTTTACTATGATAATGTGAACTAAGACATCTAGTTAATTCAGGAAATCATGATTCAGTTAATGGGCAGTACAATATCCAATCAGCCAGTAAATGATATTCAGCTTTATTCCTTCAGCTGGTTTATTTGTTCCATAATTCCAGGGTTAATGGCCAAGTATTACTTAATCCTATTTTTTGCATTTCCTTTTAAGATTGAAAACAATTAACCTGCCTTAGAAGCTACTGAATAATTGTAGAATATTCTGCAGATGCAGGTATGTTGTTTTAAAGATAATTTTAAGGTAGATATTAGCTAATTTTATATTATTTTATATTTTGTTGAGCATTTCCTCTTTTGTATTAGATTTGATTGTATGTTTAAAATAAGGACTTAATATTTGTTTGATGAATAAATGTATGTTAGACTTGTGTAGTGTGTATGCTGTTGTATTAGACCTGTTGAGACCTAGATTTAATCTGATCTTAGCCATGGAATTTTAGTAAGTAAATTTGGGTCAGTCACTTCATAACAGTCTGACAACAAAAAGTCTGCAAGCAAACAAGCTAAGAGACCAAGGACTCCATAGTTCAATCCTGAGCAACATACAGTATATTTATTCTCTTGTCTTGATCCTCTTTTTTGGGGTATTTCACTAGCAATTGTTGCAGTGAGAAAGATACTTCACTACTAAGACATGTGCTGCTTCTTTCCTCCAATATTCCATCCAACCCAACTTAAGTCAGCAGCAGTAGGGACTTAAGCAGCTAAGAAACTACTGATCAGTATTACCTGGAATCATATTTTTAAAATTATCCTGCTATAATATAAAACAGCACACTGGAAGCAGTCTCAAACATTTGAAATAACAGTATTTTGTTCTGTGCATAAAACAAAGCATAGTACAGGTAATACAGTCAGTTCTTTTAGTGATCAAAGTTGCAACGGCATGGAAAAAAGTGACCTATAACCATTTTTCACACATATGACCATTGCATCATCCCAAGGGTCATGTGACCAAAATTCAGCTGCTTGGCAATTGACTCACATTTATAACTGTTGCAGTGTCCCAGGGTCAGGTGATTCCTTTTGTGACCTTCTAATAAGCAAACTCAATGAGGAAGCCAGATTTGCTTAACAACCGTTTCATTAAATTAACAACTACAGTGATTCACTTAACAACTGTGGCAAGAAAAATGGGACAAAACTCACTTAACAATATTTCACTTAGCAACAGAAATTTGGAGCTTGATTGTTGTTGTAAGTCAACAACTACCAGCATTTATCTTTATCTTTCTTGAAATAAATTCTTAAAACTTGGACGACTCCAAAAGTAGCAGGAAAATAGAGTGCACAGTAACTTCTGTTTTTCTGGTAATTTTTTCTATGTAGTTATAAGTATAATTTTGATACACTGGAGCAAAACTAGGATGTGGAAATAGGGGTACTTCAAGGTGGGTTATAGGGTTTATACTTTTTAAAATAATAATTAAATGTATTTGATAAAATTGATTATTAAGTTGGTGTATCTTCATTTAATGATATCATGTGCTATAAAAATAAATATTATTGGCCTATTTACAGTGATGGTTGGTTTGAAGGTTACTTAACCAAATTACATCTATAAAATATTTTTAAGCATTTAGATATATTGTTATAGATAAATTGCTTAATTCTGTTTAGAATGCTAATGTCCTGAAGTAAACTATGTTTTATGTCAAAATGTTGTTGCTTTTCTGCTTGATGGGATATATGTCTATGCCAGATGCATGAGTACATTAATATAGATCTGTTGTACATGGTATGAAGAACAGAGAAAGAAAAACCCTTTTAAGAAAGTGAATTATAAAAAAGGTAGAATTAATGTACTAAACATATTGAATGAACTGATAAACACCTTATTGCTACTTTTTATTATTAATTTAATGAGTTCCCCATTTATTGCCTCATCTGAATAATTGATGAAGATATTTAAGAGTACTGGGCCTAAGACAGTGCTTTAGGGTCCTCCTCTGCACACTTCCCTCCATTTGATGCAATTCCATTAAGGACTACACATTGAGGTCAGTTAATCGCCAGATGGATTCGTAACTGGCTGACCAAAAACACTCAACATGTAGTCCTTAATGAAACTGCATCTACATGGAGGGAGTATGCAGTGGGATACACCAACGTCTTAGACCCAGTACTCTTCAATAACTTCATCAATTATTCAGATGAGGCAATAAATGGGGAACTCGTCAAATTTGCACCAAGCTGACAAGAATAGCCAACACTCCACAAGATAGGCTTAAGATACAGAAGGATCTTGACAGACTTGAACACTAAGCCCTATCGAACAAAATGAAATTCAATGGTAAAAAAAGTATGGTTCTATATTTAGGCAAGAAAAACTAAATGCACTGGTATAGCATAGGTGATATCTGTTCTGACCTAGGCTTCCCCAACAGCATGAAGCCAACTCCTCATTCTGATAACCCCCACTTTATTTTAGTTTACATTGAATTCCTCTCCAGCCAACAGTCTTTCAAGATATTTCACAATTACAGATCTTTATCAGGCTCGGAGTGTTGCCAGGCTGAAAATGAGTTGCATGAATTGTGAAAGCAGTTTCTTTTTTCAAATATTTCTTTTAAATCTATAATAAATAGAAAAAAAAGAAGAACTAAAAGAAAAAAAAAACCAAGACAAACTAGAAAATCACTAAAGGGTAAAGATACTATAAACAGAAATTGAGATAATGAAATAAAATTATTACTTTAATTGATGTATTAACTGAAAAAAACTTATATTTCTCTAGTAGTTTACTGATTATTTAGAGCAGGTATTAAATTATATTCTTGAATCTGTTTATTTAAAATTGATGTTGCATTTTTTCCTGGCATAATGTCCAATCTTAAAAACATAAGAACAATTGAATATAGTACTTGATTTTTAGGAGGTTTCAAATGTATGGCATATAACTGTAGGAGATGAGCAAGTGAGGTCAAACAGTTTGGAAATGCTACGTTTTCACAAGTGGTCCAGTCTCCCGTGAATCCTGTTGACCCTTATTCAATTTGGCTTGACTCTTAATAGGTTACCATATTGTGTGTAGATTACATGTAATGAATTTATTGTACTTTGAACTCAACTCTTGTTCCTGGATACTTTTCCTGACAATCTGATCTACTCATCTAAATTTTCACTGACTACTGTAAAAACCACAGCATGATACCAGGTCCACAAGCTGGAGCAGCAGTAGAGAATTCAGAGATGGATACCCTCTACAGATGCCAAGATGGTTTGGGATCTAAAGTGCAAAATATAGCAGCTAATACACACCAGATGTTTCAACAGATGCAAAATTTAGCTCAACAATTTCCTCCTCCATTGCCTCCACAACACTGGTGCCAGCTTTTGATCCACTGTCGGTAGCCAATGCCCTGCTGCAGAAGATCCCTAGCTGTCTACCTGAGTGATTTGCAGTAGACTCAAACAAGATGAGAATATTTCTTGCCCAATATAAACTATTCATTGGCACCAGACCATAAAGTTTCAAATGGATATCCTTCATTCTCAGCCCATTCAACAATTGCAGCCTCTTGACAGGCACTCCCCATGATTGAGCACAATTACCCGATCATGGATAACTATCAAAACTTCCTAGCACACTTTAGAAATAATTCAGGGATCACATTAAAGAAGACACCATAACATGCATAATTCAAGAGCTGCAACAAAGCAGCCAGAGATTAAGACTCTATATTGAAGAATTCAAATTGTTTGCAGCAGATTTGAATTGGAATGAGCTTTCCCTAATAACACATTTTAAACATGGCCTCAATGACAGAACTGAAAATGAACTCATCAGGCAGGGAGTTCCCCCAGACACTGGATCAAGTCTACAGAATCTGCATTATAGTTGACTCACATTTAAAAGAGATCAGGTTTGCTCCAAGTGTCACAAGCTACCAGCTCCACAACTCCCATATCCAGACTTCAATCCCTTTACACGGATTGAAGTTGATGAAGGGGAGAAAAATCTATGCAAATTGATGAAGCCAGAAAATTTCTAGATGCAGAAAAATGACAGAAATGCAGAAATTTACCACTCTGTTTCTACTATGGAGAATTGGGACACGTGGTCAAAGATTGCACTTCCAACCCACCCAGGAGAGGAGACAGGAGTTCCAACCATAGTTCCAATGAGAGCCATTTGGAATGCAAATCACAGAACAAGGGAAATGACAACAGCCCCTACCTACAATCTCATTAGAATCAAGGATGGACACAAACTTTCAATATCAGGTATAGCAAGTTAAATGCAAAATGATCCATTGGTCAGGAATGGTATTTCCAGATTTATGGATCATTTTTTTTATCTCATTCATAAATTTGTAGTCCTTTATCTGAATGATATTCTGATCTGTTCTGTGGGTATAAAGTCAAACCAGTTATCCAATTGAAAATGAAAGGAGTTAGATTTGCTTGGTGTCACACAACAATAATAAACATTTAAAGAGTTAAAGCAACTCTGCCTGTCAACCCCTATATCAGCAATTTGACCCATCAAAGAGATTCCTATTTCAGACAAATACTTAAGACTAGAAACCAGAGATGTTCTTGAACAAGAAGGTGTGGAAGGGGTAGAAATGCCTGTTGCTCTGTGTTTTTTTTCTCAAGAGCTTTGACTGCACCAGAATGGAATTATAACATTTTTAACAAGGAGCTCCTAGCGGTTAAATCCACATTCAAACAATGGAGATTTTATCTCAATCAGTCAACTTATCATAGATACCTTCTGTTTTAAAATCTTTATCAAATCTAGATTGTATTTGCAAATATGAAAACCAATTCATTTTTACACCTTGTTCTTCCAACGCTTACATAGATTTAAGTTCACCCTTTTCATTCAATATCTCACCATATCTAACTGTTTGTTCCTGTAGATTGTAGATATTCTCCCAATCAGTGATAATTGTAAATTTTCCCATTTTATCAAATCTGTCTCAATCTGTTGTTTAAGTTTGAGATAATTGTCCTCCTTAAGTGTGCTACATCTTGGTGCTGTATGTATCCCTAAATACTTAACCTTGTTTGTGACCTGGATCCCCAAAACTTCCTCCAATTCTTTCGTCTTACTAACATGTTCTTTGCTAAAATCTTTGTTTTATCTTTATTTATTTTCAAACCTGCTACTTTTCCATACTCTTCTATCTTTTCTATCAGTTTAGGTGCAGACTCCAATGGATCCTCTAATATAAATACCAGGTTATCTGCAAAAGGTTGTAATTT